TCATCTATATAACCAGAAAATTAACCTTAATCCTTTTTAAAAATTCCCATATTCTATCCAAATATAAACTACCATACAACTCCCTCCGAATCATGTTCTAATTAATAATACATCTTCATGTGATTATTCCTTAATTATTAGCCATTCAATCTTCTAGCTTCTGTCCTTTACACTTAGTCTCTATAATTCTTCCTTTGTCTATACCTGAAAAGAAAGCTGAATGGGGTTGCCTCTGAAGAGGGCTGAAGAGGAAACCCCCTTAGGAAGGCAATCTCTCCCTACTACCAGAGGTCTTGAGGGGAGCACACGCTCCACCTCCTTACCATGCCCTCTAATTATTGACAGCTATAGTTTTATTAGATGCCACTTTGGTTACATTAATAAATAGTTACCGCTTTGGATTTAATTCTAAATTCCCTTCTTGTTCTCTTAATTGCTCTCAACAAAATCTATTATACTGATAACATAAACACACTGTCTTTTTTCAATCATCTCAGTCTGATTGTTTAATCACCGCTTCCAGTAGTTTATTTCCAGAATGCTCATCATATGCTATAAATGTCTTGCCATTAAGACTAATGCCAGCCATCTGTATTTGATCCTGTGTTCTCTCAGTTTCTTTGCTGTGTCTTGAAGCTTTCTTCTCGTGAGAAGTATCTCAGCTGGAACATCGGCAAATAGAAACACAGTCATATCTTCAAGGGACAAACCCTCTTTTTCTCTAGCGATTTTAAAAAGTTTATTTTTGATCTGTACCTCCATAAATTCAATCAGGATGTCTGGTGTAGCACCCTCAGAAGCTGTTTTTGGCACATTTAAACAGAAGGCGGAGGTGATAATCATTTTGGAGAACTTTGATACCTCTGCTGAGTCAAGTATCTGCAGCAGCCATTTATTTAAAGTCTTCTGCTTTAGAAAAGTTTAATGAGACCCCACGAAGTTTGGCTTTTCTTTCTCTTAGTTTAATCTCTTGGAGTATGATTTTGTTTTTGGCCCAAGCCTCAAAGTCCTTTACCTCCTTCATTTCATCTGCTGTTTTCTTTGCTATTTGAGGAGGGGCTTCTGCCCCCCCCCCCCCATCGTTTTCCTTGTTGAGGTAAGTTCATCGAGTTTGTTGTTTATCAGCTCTATTGTTTGTTTGAGTTGGCCGAATTCTGTTTTCAATTATCCAACATCCCCGCTCAAAGTCTTTAGTTCATTTTTAAGCTCGTCTTTTATCTCTGTCAAATCATGCAGGATCATAGTCTGATAACTTGGGTCAGAGTTGCTAGCTCCCACCGCCATATCCTCCGGCAAGAACGTCTCTAGGTCTTCTGAGTCTGTATTAGTCTTCCTATGGGGTATGTAAGGGGTTTTTTTTGCCCCCTTCTTCTGCCTAGTACTTCCCATACCCAGCATTAAAGTTTGTTCCTGAGTTAGTTTTATTTTTTGAGAGCAATTTTGATAATCCTCAATGGGAATGGTAGGAGTGTGGGAGGGATGCAGCCAGCTGGAAGCTCAGCTGCCACGCTCCCTGGGTATCCTGATCAGGGCCGGCTCACCCGCTAGGTGAACTAGGCATTTGCCTAGAGCGCGAGCTGGCCCTTAGGGCGCAGGAGGAGAGGTAGGGGTGGCCCGCAGGAGCCCGGTGCACTCCCAGCACTAGGAGCCAGAGGAGCACCCTCTACATGGAGCCAGGCGCTGCGGCGCTCCCTTGAGCCAGCCAGCGGCAGAGGGGAGCGGGCGCTCCTGGCTGTGTGCGGCAGCGGCAAAGGGGCTGCCACCGCCGCACACAGACAGGAGCACCCGCACCCAAGAGGAGACCCCCTCTTTCTTCCCCACTCTGGCCGGAAATGGTCTGCTGCCGCCCTCTCTAGGAGCACGGACTGTAGGAGCGAGGGATTTACCCCTCCACTGCAAGAAGCGGACGGAGCGGCGAACTGGGGGGAGGGGAAGCACTCAGAGGGGCGACGGTGCACCTTCCCCCGGCTGCAAACAGCTGCCCGCCCTGCAGATTCCCCGTTTGCAGAACTTTGCTGGACTAGGACTCCTCTCGAGGTGCAAAGTCAAGGAGGAGGAGGTGGAAACGCACCGAAGGGACAAATGGGGACAGCCCCTCCCTCTCCTTCGGGCCCCCACAGCCCCAGAGGGTGTGGGGTGGGTGGGGTCTTTGCACCTCTCTACAAAGTCATGAGGTCCATGCAGGAGCAGCACCGCGACCCTCAAAACAATTTAACAATTAAAGCAATACAATACATGCAATAAAACTAATCCAGGTGGCCTTGATACCAATTTATACCCTTCGGGGGGGGGGGGGGGGAGGGATGGGCCAGGAAGACTCCCTTTCTTTCTTCCTCTGACTCTTCCCGAGGAAAGCTTCCCCAGAAACATCATTCCTCCCCCCCCGCAGTCAGAAGGACAACACACACACACACACACACACACGCTTCACCAAAGTGTTTCTTCCTGAGAGCTGCTGCGCTGTGAATGGGGACTTTCCTGCCTCCTCCGCCGCCCTCACTCCTTCCCTCCGCGCTGGGTGCCCCGTTGGCTCGGGCTCCGCAGCGCTGCCCCGGTGAGGAGGAGGAGGCGCGGTGGGCGCTTTGCTGGCAAGGCCCAGGGAGTGAGTGGCACGCCAGCTGGGAGGTCTCCAGGCCCCACTGGGAGGTTGGCATCTGCGCTCCCCTAGGGCGCAGGAACACCTCTGGCCGACCCTGACCCTGATACTAGTGTAATTCTCCACAATGGTGAAAACCTCCACCTGAAGAACTTCCATGTGCAGAGAGAACATTCAGCCTTGTAACATGATGCAATGTGCCAGGGTGCTTTTAAAGAAAACAACATGATGACTTTACCCCTTGAACACAGCCCATTACCCCTTGAACACAGCCCATTGCACTAGATATTTTCAGAACTATATGTTTTTATAGCCTGATTCATCTTTACCCTCACACACACTTAGAATAATATTTCTGAACAACATGGGCCATTTATGGACCCGCAGCTTCCCTGGGATCATCTGGAAAGCAGTGTTTACATTCTTTCCACATAGACCACAGCAACAGCAGCATATGATAAAGAGCCCCATAGCAGCTAATGACATCATGGCCTCACAGGCAGAGGAAATAGCTAAACTTCCTGCTCACAGCCCATTAAAACCTCAGCACTGGCGTCGTCTCACTGAAATGACAATAATGCCTCAGCAAACCTGCCAAGGAAGCCAGGAGGAGAAAGAGAGGGGCTTTGGAGTGTAACTAAATAATTGGAAACAGGAAATAGCTAAATAGCTCTAGGCTGAAGGCCGTAAAAATAACATTGTGTGGATACTATAAAAGGAAACAAGTTTTTGAAGGAAGAGAACTCATTGCGAGATTTTAAAATGTGTTGTCAACATTTTGGGAGGGGAGGGGGGATTAAAAGATAATTTCTCCTGGAATAAGGCATCTTCTTCATGGCATGTTTCACTTAAATGAGTTGAAGTGGCTATCATCTAGCTATCATCTATGCAAGACCACCAAAAGCCCATTTTAAAACCAGAAAAAGCCCATACGTATACATATGTATACCATTAATGCATACTACACTTATGCCCCCCTGAGCTCCATGGAGGAAAACCTGTGTATTTTAGTTGCCAAAAGCAGGTGTCAGGAGCAATATTGATGGGATATGTGGTTGAAGAAAAGGGAAGAGTTTGCTCCTACCCCATTATTTCCCTGACTAGAAATCCTCCCCAGCTTCTTTAAACTCCACTGTGATGGGGGGGGGGCATCAAGTCAAGCTGACTCCTGGCAAACCCTAGTGGGGCTTGAAGGCAAAGGATATTCAGAGGTGGATTGCCATCTCTTGCCTCTGCGTCACGACTGATGCACTGTATTCTTGGTGCTTGGGGGGGGGACAACAGTGGGAGGGCTTCTAGTGTCCAGACCCCACTGCTGGACCTCCTGATGGCACCTGGTATTTTTGGCCACTGTGTGACACCGTGTTGGACTGGATGGGCCGTTGGCCTGATCCAACATTGGCTTCTCTTATGTTCTTATGGCCCTAGTATTCCTTGGATGTCTCCCAACCATATATTAGCCAGGGCCAGCCCTGCTTAGCTTCTGAGATCTAAATGAGATTGGGCTTGCCTGGGCTATCCAGGTCAGGGTGGCTGCTGTTTTTTCACTTCCAAGGCCTCAATGATGGGGCACTCAAGTCTGTACCATGATTCTGGGAATGTGGTTAGAGTGTTGGGAAGCTCTCTGGGTGACGCTGGGCCAGAGCACACTTCAATTACAGGTGGGGGCTCACATGACCCATTGCTTCTGCCCCCTCCTTCCCTGCACAGAGGAACACTATGTGTTAGTGAGAGCGCTTCTAGCCTAGTTTTCTCCCTAATATGCTAATTTTCAATGTTTAAGCCTTCTCTGTATGACTGAGCAATACAGTCATAATAATACAAAGCAATCACTGCATATAGAAAACTAGCATATCAAGGAGAAGGCTAGTCTAGGCTGCATCTCCCTGTAGTTTTCTTTGTGAAGGGTGTTTTTTTAAAGGAAGGAACCTATAGTTTGAAGTGGTACAGTCCACCTCATGTGCTTTGCGTGAGAACTAGGCATAAGAAATGGGAAGGAGTGGAGCTGTGCAGCTGGGAACTGGCTAAGTGCTGCCATTGAGTTATGTGCAATAAAGTCAGTGAGCTTGAAAGGAATCAGGTTTGTTTCTTTGCTTGGTGATTGATGGCAGAGAACTAGGAAATAGAGCTCCTGGGATTCTTCATAACTCCTTTTCCTTCCCCTGACTCCAGCCATCAAAGTTGACTAGCTTTGGGTTGGTAGGAATAATTAAAAAATAAAAAATCCCTTACATAACTGAATGAAAAGAAGGTGGGGTTTTTTGGGGGTGGGATAGGTACTAGTGTGTAAAATTTTTTTTTAAAAAAAATCCAAATGGAAATATCCTCAACATTTTTTAGTGCAAAGGACTCAAATAGTGAAATGTTCCATCTGTTTATAACATTTGGTCTCTTTCCCCCTCAGGTTTGACATCTACAGGAAGGTGCCAAAAGACCTTACGCAGCCAACCTTTACAGGAGCAATTAGTAAGTGCCTGTGTGTGTATGTGTACGTGCTCCCGTCTAAAATTAGAATTCCTTCTGGCTTCTCATTTTAAGATAGTATGATTTCTTTCCAAAGTGATAGTAAATTCACTAGTTTTGTAGCACAACAGCTTGCTGTGGGTGGGTGTGCATGTATGCATGCATGTGTTTAATTGGATAACTCTGTAAGATAACTAGATGAACTGCTGAAGGCTGACTGGGATACCCAGTTGAGTCATGCCACACTGGATGGCTTCTGGCAAGTCTATGTTTCTGAGTCTGGGGTGCAGTTCTCTGGCAATGAAGTTGGGAGACAGCACAGTGTAAAATCAGTTTCCTGCTGCTTTTCTATATTGCTAGAAAGTAACTATCACAGTCTCTCCCCCCCCTTTACTTTGTTGGCACATAGCATAATTTTGGGTTGATGTCATCTTCGTACTAGGGATCTTGTCTTCCTTCCTTCTCAAGATAGAGGCCTGTTGGCTGAGTAATGCAATTTCACACCATCATTGCTAGTGAGTGTGTTACGTAGTAAAGTGGGTAAATACATAGGCTGTTCCTGCCAGGTCAATAATTAGATGCCTAATGTTGCTTTCCTGTCTTGTTGCACACCAATTTCCTTTGATCAAGTAACTGTGCCCCAGTTCACTCACTTTTGTAGTTTGGATCACTAGTCATGTATATATCATTGCTGATGCAAACAGAATCACACCCCAAGGTAGTGATTGGTGCTGAATAGAACTGAGTCAGTAATCCTGAATCATTTAGGATGCTGTTTGAAGAAGTGGGGAAGAGGCAACTGATCAAAGCTGAGACGCCCTAACAAATACTTACTGGGGTCCGCCGCTGCACTTAAGAATGTTGTTCTTACTCCCTTTCCCCACTTTGCTTATCTAGTCTTTAGATTTCTATTTTCAACATACTCCAATTTTTCACATTAGCCATGATGAACAGGAGAAGAAAATGAGCTGAGTTATTGCTTGCCTCTAACCAGCATGCTCTGCAGACCTGCATTCATATGTAACAGTGAATTGAAGCTTGATCAAGCTCTGCACATGAATGGAAGAAAGAGACAAGAGGAGCGAAGGGTGTGTGTAGCAGTAAGTTGTATTAGTGCACAGTTTTTATCTTGAGGGGGAGAAGGACCCTCCTCTACACTTTGGTTTTCCTTCCCATGAACCCTGGAGGGAGAAAACAGGTCTTTCCATCTCCTGGATGGGTACCCACCCTAGTATTTTTCCTGCAGTCTCCTGAGAGAGTATTGGATTAAGAGCATTCCTGGTGTGTTTTACTTCAGGGGGGTTCTTAGGTCTCTTCCTTATGTGCCTACCGTATTCTCTCTTCTCTACAAAAAACATACCTTCTCCCTTTTTCTTGATTCTTTCTCTCCCCTTGCTGTCTCAGTCCTACTTTTTCTGTTGCTGCCTGCTTCAGCCGCGGTGATTTCTTCAGCCAGTTCAGTGGCAAAGGTTTCTAACCTAGGAGCCTCCTCTGAGACAAAATTGGGAACAGTCATTCCCAGGAAATGGAGCAAGAGGCACTTGCAATCCTGCTCTGATGTTGGTGGGAAGCCTTCAGAAGTTTCAACAGACATGGCACTCTCTTAGCTCTCATTACTTGGTACTTGATGCACCCTAGATGCAATCCAACATACTTTAGACATTGAATCAGTTGAGGCTATGCCAGGTTTCTCAGGCATTTATTCAGTGTTTTCCAGAGTCCCCAAGAAGAACTGGGACTGGAGGGCCATCTTGGATCGCAAATACTTGAACAGCATTGTGAAATACAGGAAGTTCAAGATGGAGACTCTGAGAACCATTGCAGAGGCCCCTCAACCAGGGGAGTTCATAGCCTCCATCAACTTAACCAAAGCTTACCTGCGTGTGCCCAGCATCCCTGGGCAGAAATATGTCTCTGGGAAGCTGGCCTGTAGCTACAGTGGGACTATTCAAGGCACTGTCCCCTTCCTTAAAAGTGCAGCCCCACATGATTTCCTTCTGAAAATGCTTTTTAAATGCACCAAAGAGACCTGAGAATCACACATGAGAAGAAGTCGACAAGAAGAAGCTGCAGCGCTGCTGCCTCCTTTTAGCAGCCTTTTAAAAAAAAGATGTGAGAGTCCCCTTCCCCAACTTGAAGAAGCTGCAGTGCTGCCTCCTCTGCCCTCCACCCTCCCCAGCTCTTCCTTCAGGGATGGGGCCTTAATGTTCAACAGCATGCTTGTATCAAGTAGCCCTGTCATGGGTCTGGAATGTGGAGGGGTGCCCTCCCATTTTCTGTCTCAGCTCTCCCTGGCTCACCAACTGTATGTTATCTTATGCTTGACCTTGTAGATGTTCCAGTTGCAGTATTATTCGGCTGGGAAAGCTAACAGCCTTTGCTTTGCCTGCTTGCTTTGCCCCCATTTACGAAATGTATCCATTGGCTTCTGCTTACCAGGGGGGATGTTTGATTCTGGTATAAGTCAGCGGCCCTAGTATTGTAGGCCATTCCTGACACAAGCTGTACACGTGTCTTCAGTTCTGATTTTACCAATAAACAGTTCTCTTCTCATAAAGCCCTGTGTTGAGTGACCTGACTAAGGACCCTGACAGCTTGTAGGTCTTCCTTCCACAGCAGCAGGAACATCTTTGGCAAGGCAAGAACCAGCACTGGGGGAGGGGGTGAGATCTGGCAGTCACGGAAGTGGGTGAGAGGCTAGGCAATGAGGGACAGGGTGTTGCTTGGTTGGATGGTAGGAGCAGGAGGCTGCAAAGAAGGTAGTTCTCTCAGCTTCTTCTGTGTTAATTGCTGGGACATGGACCGGGAGCTCCCTTGCCGCACTTGCTAGCTTGGCCACTGACAGGCGACCCGGGGCTGAAGATGCCTTCTCTGGGCATACTAAACCTGTGCACTGTATTCTGGGAGAGCATTCATGATAGTGAACAGGTCTATCCTGTAACTAAAGCCCTTAAGAACTAAGTTTGAATTATATTCCATAGGGAAACAACCTCATGCTTTCAGCTCAGGACTTGTTGCAAGGGCTAAGTATCAACATTCCAGAAACTGGTGGAATAGCCCAAAGCAGGAGGAGAAAGAATATACGATCGTTATCTTTGGGTCTGTCCTAGATTAAAGGAATGACGCCTGTGGGGGGATACTAATATTTTCCTCCAATCTGTATGTACCCCGTGACACAATGCTTAAACAAAGTAATTTCATTTCTCCCTGCCTGCCTCCCCTTTCTCTCTAACTCTTCTTGGGGGGGGGGGATGGCATCTCCCAGAATGCTGCTTTATGCTTGTGAAAGGGACTCACTAGCTTGCTGTTGGATTCCACTGGGTGGAGAGTGGAGATAGAGCAGGTTCTGTGGAGAAGCGGCTGCTGTTGCTGAGGGGAAGGCTGGGGAGGGCAAAGGAGTGCAGCATGAGTAGGAAAAGAGCCACTGCTGGGAACCCTGAAAGGTGAGAGGATGAAAGTGTGAGCTGAGCAGCAGATGCGTGGGAGGTGTGTGCAGGGCCGGCTCGCCCGCTAGGCGAGCTAGCTGCTTGCCTAGGGCGCGCTGGCCCTCAGGGGCGCCAAACTGCGCCCGCCCCCTCCCCCGCCACTCCTGGGGGAATCAGGGAGGGACCAGGCGGGCCAGCTCCAGCCTCCTCTTCCGGAGACGCTCTGCTCCACATGGTCCCCCCCGGGGAATGCAGCACGCCCCCCCCCCCCGCGTTCCTCCCGACTAGCCCCATGGAGCAGCGGCGGAGGGCAGCCTGGGTGAGGTTCCTCCTGGCCGGTGCCTTTTCTTCTCCCTCTGCAGCGCCAAAGGGTCAGCCTTCTGCCGGAGAGGCCGAGCAAGGAGGGGGGTCGGGGAAGAGGAGGGGCACCTTTGCATGGTGGGGGTGGCGCTCGGGGAAGGGGAAGGAGCCACGTGGAGAAGGCACACAACAGCCGCCGCCGGGTGATGGCCAGGGGGGCTCTTTGGGGGCGAGTCGCTCGCTGGGGGGGTCCCAAGCTTGGAGATGGGGGGAGCGGAAGGCGGGGACCACGCTCGGCCCCGCTTGCCAACTCCTGGGTGGCGAATCCCTGCACATTTGGGGGCTGCATTCCGGGAAAGGCCCGGTTGGGGGGGGGAACCACACATCCCATGGGAACAATGCCAGGGAGTCCTTCCATTGCCACAGATTTCTGGGGTGGGGAATGATCTCTGCCTGCTGGAAGGGGGGGCTGCTCTCAAGTGCCTGTAATTTTGGGGAGAACGTGAGAGCCCCAACAACTCCTTATGGCCCCTCCAGGCGGTCTTCCTCTTTCATGGGTGAGTTGGGGGCTGGGGCTTGCGTTGCAGCTGGCGTAGCTTCCTTGGGGTCTGGCTCCATGCCCAGGGGCAGTGGCAGGGCGGTCCTGACTGGCGGCATCTCCGCGTCACCATTGGGACAATCAGAAACTGGAGGAAGGGGGGGAGCAGAGGAGAGGCCTCTTCGTTGCCGAATCCCTGTAAGCTCTCCTCCTCTTCCTTCTCTCCAGGCCCTGCCTGGAGGTTGGCAACCCCTTAATTAATGGGTTGCATGGGGGGCACCAGAAGGTAGCCCCACTTAGGTTGCAAGAAATCCTCGGGCCGGCCCTGGGTGTGTGAAAGCAAGGACCGCCCCCTTTTTTAAAAAGAAGGCTGTGTACAGACAGAAAAATAATGGCAAATAATTACAGTCCCACAAGAAAAAAAATTGCCCCACAAGCCACAAAATCCTGGCTATGGGCCTGATGACAAGAGGCATTTCCAGCTCAAGGCTGTGCCTTTCTTGCTGCCTTCCGCCCCTGGCGTCTTCATGAAGCTGGTAGCCTTGGTAGTTTTATGCCTGTGTTTATAAGGGGATCCACATACATCTGTATCTAGGTGATCTGTTGATTAGGTCTTCCAACAGACCAAAAGCCCTTCAGGAGTGAACTACTTCCATTGCAAGTGATTTCTCATATGGTTGCAGTCATAGATTTGGTTCAGTGCGAGTGTTTTCCCCCCGGACAGGATAGCACAGGTCGAT